CCCCAGCCAGGAACCAAATTGATTTAGATGAATTGATTGTTAACTGCTATGAAAAGTGTCTGGTTGAAGTAAGACTTTTTAACCAAACATTAATGCACATTTGTTTAAATTTATTTGTCATGTTTATCCTGTGTGGATTGAAAGGGGAAGTTAACTCCCCAATTTTCTTGATAACAATAAGTTCTATGCAGCTATATTGGTTCTTACCTGAGCCCTAAGCAACTGTGATGTCTATTTCGGTTGACAGAAAGTGGCAAAATGGCCACCTCCTGAGATGGTGAGAAACGGATGGATTTTGCTGCTTAACTCGATATTAATCAGAATGCCATGTTTAGCCTAGTGGGGGCGTATAGAACATACTACTGTAAAAAAAATGACTTGCCCAATTCTTGTTTTTAAAAAAACATTTCAGAAGTTTCTTTTTTTGTAGCTGTGTCTTTGGTTACCCTGCATCACTTTCAGACTTAACCTGGACACAAGGTTTACCATCTTTTCTGTTTGTTTTGCAGGACCCTTCCATCCTCAGGAGTGAGTGCTCTATCTTTTTAAATGTTGTGATTGTGACCACAAAATGAAGAATTAGCTGTTATAATGATAATGTGCTGATTTGTGTATTAATTGCTGTTTTTTCGATCATCGTTAACTTTCAATGGGAAAAACATAAATGTCTCATAAAATATACATTTTGCCATCAGTTACTCAGAGTAGTGACTCACATTGAGTCACATTGTCAGGCCTGATTATAACTCAAGTCACATTTTTGTTTCAGAATTTACATGTGGGCTGAAGACATGACGTCACCTACATAAGCTATTTAATTACTTGTTGAGTCAGAGTTCTTGTGACTTAAATGTCATTAGAGTTATTGGGTTTTGATAACTCCACACTGCAACAGTTTGTGATCTAATTGGCCACTGTAGTATGTAAATGCTAAATATGGTTAGGTTTAGGATTGTAGTTCATGTGAGCTAATATAGCCATCTAGTCATCTCGCCTTGAAATGATCCTCATGATATCTTTGAAGTTCTTTAGTGGTTGAAGAGGTTGTAAATATTGGAGATGGATCTCAAGGGTCGGCTGAATTATTTATGTAGATTGGAATGTAAATGTGTCTCTTTGCTCAGGGTTCTTTCATCGGGCAATGGAGTCAACTCCAGCAAAGACAAGCATGTGAGGGTTGCAACTTCATTTTTTCAAATCACTCGATTGTTCATGCAAAATCAAACCAGCACTTTTGAAAATATGTTTTTGTTGCACCACCTCATTAGGTTTCTGCCAGTCGAGGCGCCTGGTCGGGTGCACCGGTTGTGAACGTTGCGCCTGCTTCTGTTTGTGGTCCGTTGGAAATAGAGCCTCTTCCCAGAAGTCCTGGAGGGGAAAAGAGAAGGTGGGTTCTCTTTTTTTTGTTGTTGCAAAGCTGGCTTGAGTGAACCTGTCCAAGGGCTGTACCTTCTCGGGCCGAGAGACACAACAAGAGAGGCAGAAAGTTTCTGCTTGTCTGTCTTTATTTATTTTAACAAATAAAAAACAGGTGAACAGTGTGCGTATGCCAAAGCAGTGGTTGGGCAGGTGAAGGGCCGCAGGGTGTTGGTATATTGTGTACTCTCCATGCTGCAAGTCACTTCTGTGATCTGGAGAGCAAGACAGTAGGACCATGCAGATTTTCTTGCATGCCGTTATTGTTTTGTATTAAACTGTATTTGCACTGAATGTTTAAAGGTGAACCCAAAATGTTCTTTACACTAATGTTCAATGCAGCCCTACTAGTCTAAACATTGTGATTAATATTGCATTTGTGGAAAATGAGTTACGCAGGAAAATCCAGCCATTTTTTGCCATCTTAGAGGGCGGCCATTTTGGCACGTTCTTGCAACTGAAAATGACATCACAGTTGCTCAGGGCTCCCTCAGGTAATGATCAATCACGGCTCACTTGTTTTCTGAAGCCGAGCCATGATTGGTTGTTACCTGAGGCCTGAGCAATTGTGATGTCATTTTTAGTGGACGGCAAGTGGTAAAAGGGCCATCCCCTGAGTTGGACAAAAACAGGTGGATTTTACTGCTTTGCTCTCATTCCATACATGCAATATTAATCAGAATGTCATGTTTAGAGTAGTAGGCTTGCATATAACTTCTGTACTGGGTTGACTTCCCCTTTAAGTTTCCCAATTCAGATACTGTAGATACAAATCTAAGACGTGTCGGGCGTCTGTCAACCCAATGGGCATCTTCATTTTAAAATATATAGAGATTATCTGAAACTATCCCGGCTGACTTTGGGGAGTGTGCTGGGTGCACCCTGAAACTGGTTGCCAGTCTTTGTAGGAAATGCCACATTGAGACGACTGACAAGGTCATTCATATGTATGTAAAATGGCAATAAGAAACTCATTGCATCATGTCCTCTTGAGC